CCGGAGGTGGTTTGAGTGAGGTTGACGATTGCTTGATACGAGAGTAGGGTTAGGGTTTCCCATGAGACGCATCTTCAACCGGGTAGGGAGGTGTCGTGTTTAATCCCGTCTCCATGCTTCCAAACATCATACGAAAACTAACACAATTAGTCCCTCCCACACATAAACTTTTCAAAACATATCTATAAGTTACCATATAGCCCCTCCATGACAAATTCTTTTCAACCTAGGTACATAATTTACCATTCGGCCCTCCACATTCCAAAATCTTTTCATAATAAGTCCTAATAATTACCAAGTAGCCCAAGTCTTCAAAAATCCTTTCAAATTAATCCCATAATTTACTAACATCCCTCAACCTTCAAAATTCTTTACAAACTAATCCGAAATTTACATTTTAACCCCCAAACTCTCAATTATGGCTTTTAGCTCCCGAAGACCAACATCCTGCTAACTATTACAGATTTTAGGGCTAATATTCATCTATTAATTTTATCTATTTATTTATTTAATAAACAGGATGTTACAAAAAAATTGTAAATGGCATGCATCAAGTGAGGTCCTCTAAAGATAGACTCAAAAAATTTAGGAATGAAGGTTAGGGGCATTTTTAAACGATGTTAGTTTATTCTGCGAAAAATGTGATATTGAGATTTTGAGTATGGAAGCTCCATATTATGATGGATTAAGTTGTCGCAAAGATTCAAAGGTTAGCAACTAGGAAGTTTATTTATTTTCACAACTTTCCTAATTAACTATTAGCAACTAGGAAGTTTATTTATTGTTTACACCACTACAAAGTTGATGTATTTGTTGCGGTCATAGATATGCAATCTCAGGAGCTCAGCAACCGCTTTAATGAAGCAAACACATCATTACTTGTTTCGATGAGTTCTTTGTGTCCAAGTAAGTCTTTTCAAGCATTTAATATGGAGGCACTGCTCAAAATGGCTAAATTTTATTTTACGAATTCCCAGAGCATGACCTTCGAACACTTAGAAATTGTAACACCGTAATTTTTCAAACATATTTTTTTCATTTTAAAATCCCATACTTTTCATAACATATTGTATAGAAATCTCGTTTATTCATATTACAAGCAAAACTCCATTAATTATCCAGGATCCTCAAAATATAACTCTTTCTCTGGTGTGTACAATCAAGCCGGTGCCGTCCCGCGATCCTGAGAAAACTTGAAACATATAACACATAACACAGTAAGCACAAAGCTTAGTGAGTTCCCCAAAATACCACATATAACACATATTAGCCACTCGAGGCTATAACTCTGTGGGCCCACTGGCCCTAACTATGTGGACCCTCTGGTCCTAACTCTGTGGACCTTCCGGTCCTGACTCTGTAAACTATGGAATACACACAACATAAATCACATAGAAATAATGCAGTGCAACACATCACATACATAGCATACAAGATACTCTGTCACATAACTCTACTTACCACTCAAGGTAAAGTATAGTGAGAAGACTCACCTCACATGATGTCGGATACCTTCTCGTGCTCGATAACCCGACCTAGCCTCCTCCTATCAAAATGATAACATCTCTAATCAATACTTTTCTATTGTCCTCATCTCTAAAGAATGGGTAGAAGACCATTCTACCCCTCTCTGACCTCTCTCGAATCAGGTTGACCAAAACCCCATGGTCAACTGAAGTCAACTCTAGTCAACGGTCAGACTTTGACCAGACTCGTCGAGTGCACTCGAGTGACTCGGCGAGTCCATGCGTGTCCTCTGAATCCTTAAAAAGCTTCACTCGACTCGTCGAGTTACCCTTTCACTCGACGGGTTACCACTGGTCATGAATCGCGGGGCAACCCGACTCGACTCGTCGAGTCCCCATATGGACTCGGCGAGTTCCCTCCAATGCAACACTCAAAAGACCTTCTGAGGTCGGATCTGTTTCTCTAACTTATAGATCTGACCTTCTTACACCCAATAATCACGTAAAGGTTCAATCTTTAAGCTCATGCATCACTCTTACGCCCTTATATGAAGAAATAGCTCCAAAAATGGCAACCTAGATCCATAACCCCAAAGGGACTGCATAAAGCTGGAAGATTGGGACTCTCTGGACCACTTAAGGTCCAGATCTAAAGCTTATTCCACATTGGGACCTCGTATGCATCATATACTATCCAAGAAAGGGTAAAGAAAACCCTAGATTCAAGTATTTTACACAAAACAGAAGGAAGGGGCGAAATACTACCTCAAAATGGAGATCCTTGCTTAGATGTCTCAGAATAACAACCTCCTTTGGTCCTTCAAGCTGAATCCCTTCACTTCATTTGAAAAACCACACCAAAATTACTTGATTTCATCACAAAAACTCTTCCTTGGCTCCAATGGCGATTTAGGGTTTCTCACAGGAGATATGAGGCGCACCCACGGTCATAAGTTCCTTTAAATAGGCTCCAACCCCAAAACTTAGGGTTTTCTCTGCCCAGTACCTACTCGGCGAGTCCATCCTCGGACTCGTCGAGTCCGCTCATTAAATCCACCCGACAATCTCGACTCGACTCGGCGAGTTGGTCCCTCAACTCGTCAAGTCCCTCCTCAAATCTCAAGATTAACATCCACAATAATGTCCCTGTAAATCCGGTTGTTACAGAGAAAGTCTTCAAAACTATATTCTGGATGTACGTGGAGATGAAATGTTTAATAAATTGAAAGGAATTGTAAACTAGGCAAAGATTATGGTTGAAAAAAATAAACATACCATATATCAATGGTATATCTTCTACCAAAATTTGCATTGATTTTTCCCGTTGCAACATTAACTGTGGAACGAGCATTTTCAGCAATGAAATTGATAAAGAATGATTTGCGCAATAAGATGGGCGATCAGTTTATGAATGATTGTCTAGTGTCATATAGAAAGATGTACCAGATGATATTAGCAACGATGCAAGTATAGATTATTTTCAACAAATGTAAAGTCGTCATGAACAGTTGTAGGACATTTACTAGTGGCTTTTCAACTATGTTTGATATTTCGTGTTAAAGTTAATAATATATTTTCTTATGATGGTATCATTGACAATCCGACCTGACAAAAGATAAATTTTCATTCGTTGATTTTATAACTCTATTTGAGGTGGACGCCTATCAGTTTCAATCCTAGATTCGCCACCGGGTAGAAAGACAAAAAGAAAAGTATGTTACTATTACTTAGTAATTTCTCATATAATTTAACAACAACGTAAATTGATATATCTAGACATTTGCATTTGTTTACCATTTCTTTTTAGAACAATGTCTACTTCCAAAGTTACTTACCTACAATACATTAGAGCAGTATCACATGATACAACATTTAAGATTCGAGTGCTGATGATTAGGAAATTTATACCCAAAATAAGAAAGAAGTGTTATCGATAGAACTAATTATTCTGGATGAACAAGTTATGTACAACGTTTATTATTTATATTTACATGTAGTATATGATGCGATAACATGCTAATCTTTTTAAAGGGCACACAAACCGAAGCTCATGTTTTCAATAGTAACTTCAACAGGTTCCAACATCTTCTAAAAGTTAGAGAAACTTATGTAATACAAACTCAAACTTGGCTGCAACAAGTGAATGTTTTAGTATTACTAGCGAAGAACAACAAATTATGTTACAGTGGAAAACTCTTCTTAAGAAATGTACAAATTTTACGGGTTGACTTCAAGGCTTTGTTTTTATTGACTCTTCTTCAATTCTACAATAAACTTGCTCGACCAATTTGTGTTTTGGTTAGTTATTTTACTTTTTTTTTACATTCTTTAAATTATTCACATAATTCATATTATTGTTTTGTACATTTGTAGATGTTTTCGTACATGTCATATCACGAAGTACTCTAGACACATCTAATCCAAATCCATCAAGTCACAACATGAAGTTGACCTTAAGCAACATAGAGTGAATTCTTTAACCTTTTTTATGTGATATTTATCATATATACATTGTTTTCTATTTTAAAGTAATTTATTTTTTATTGTAGGGTTACATTACTTAAGGTTACTTTGTTTGGAGTTCAAGCTCATCAACTATCAGATTTTATGACAAAAAACAAAAAAAACAAATAAATAAATTAATTAATTAACTTTGTGTTATTTTATTAAGCCAGTTTGCTACACTCAACGTTTGGAATGATTTGTGCTATTAGTCTAATATTCACTTCGTACATAAAAAGAGGGTTTTTCATTTGATTTTTTTACTGGTCATGGTGGAGTTTCATCTTATCTGGACGCATCTAATTTGTTTATTAATGCATACCTTTCTTAGATTAATGAATACAATAAAAAGTTAGTTTAATTATTACAATCTTTGAATTTGATGCATAACTCTTGATCTTGTTCCCCTTTATATATTCATGGAGAAAAAAAGTTTGACAGTAGTATAAGTAATCCTGAGTCATACTTTTTCTTATAATGATGAGTTTAAAGGTGATTATGAAATAAAAAATGCTTGTGATATCATCGAGCCATTGAAGGTATATTATCACCTTTATAGTTATTTATTATCTTTCTTTTACATACAAAGTTTTTTAAATCTACTTTTGGTATGGATATAGGAATGTAAGTTTATTTTACTTGGAACAATCAAAGGAATTAGACATGGCTATCCTTGGTTTTATGATGCATGTACTAGATGTGGAAATAGAGGTGTACAGTGTTGATCATACATCTGATACCCAAAAAGGCATATAATATATGTAACAAATTTCCGACGGCTACCACAAATTTTAGCAACAGATTTTTCCGTCGGTAATTAGTAACCGATCACCAAAGAAAATTTTTTTTTGCAAAAGATTGCCGACGGAATAACTCACTAACGGACTACGACGAAATTTAGGAAAAACCCACTAACAGATTACCGACAGATTTTATGTGACATGTTAGCGGCAAATTTTGGCATTATAAAAAAAATATAAATTAATGAAAAAATTAACAATAATTACATATTCAACACAATAAAAATCTTGAAACATACACCAAATAAATATTTTAAAACCAACAAATATAAATCCACCAAAACGGTATTCATTATTCATTCATTCATTGCATACTTTATTCTCCATAGAAAGATTAAAACCAAAACCATCTTGAAACATTACTCCGCCTTGAGGCCCCACCACCTCCTTTTTCTAACAAAGATGTTCCATACATTTCCACCATTGATTTTAATGTTTTTTTGTATTCACTCTGCTATACCAAAACCACGCATACATAATATAAGTTATTTGTTATAATGAAAATTACTGAAACATTATAATAAAAATTAAAAAACCACTTAATAATAATATAAAAATATCATAATACCTAAGTTAGGGTTTACTTTTTCAAAACCAAATTTCTAAATCCACATGGATTTAACATCCTCAACGGTTGGAACCACCATCTTCTTAACCATCCCTTGGTTGGTATCACTATTGCATGCTCTGCAACATCTTCCACAATATACACGAAACATTCAAGCTGTAACAACTTTTGTCCTGCACAATTTATAATATTTATAACAATAATATTGATGATGATAAGTTTGTACAGCATATGAAAATAAATACCAAATGAAAAGTGTGAGCTTACTCTATTGTCAGCATAGCACATTGAACTTTGAAGTCGGAATCACCTATTGTCCGCCTATTGATTGGAGAAAAAGATAGAAAAAAAAATTAGATGTTCAAAATAAAAAAATAAAAATGAAGTAAATAGTTTTATACCTTCTTACCCATAAGCCATTGATGGAATAAAATCACTTGCAGTAATAGAATCAACAATAGATGTGAAGTGTTTCTGCTACAATCAATGAAAACCGGCAGAAATAAAATAAATGGTTATCAATTGATTAATCTGTAGCAACAGTGTAGAATAGTAATAAAAACACCACTTTATAGTAAATGGTTATCAATTGATTAATCTGTAGCAACAGTGTAGAATAGTAATAAAAACACTACTTTATAGTTTATAGTTTATACTCACATGAAAGATATCAACCGCTTGTGAAAGCAACATTTTGTTGTCATCAGAAACATCTTTCCCATGGAAAACAATCCACTTCACATCGGAATTGGTGATTCCGATTCCCATTCCCATTCTGATTCCTCCGAAACACTGACCTTTGATTTCTTCGTAATGAAACCAATAAGAGAATCAGGGACCTTCACCGGCCCACATGCCACCAACTTCTAAAGAACTGAATGATGTATTCCACACTCCACGGTGCAGAACAAATTCCACATGGCAAATCCTGTAACACATCAACAATCTCATATTAAATCAAGTGAAAAAGGTTGGAATTTTTAGCAAATTGAGATTCAAATTAACACACCTTCAGATCGATTCTCTTATGTGCCCTAACACACCCTACATGGTATTCCCTTTCACACTGCAAGGAGGATAAATCTAACAATCAGAAATGAAAACACAGCATAACTGGATTTTTTTTGAATGTCCATTTTAACCTTGGACCAAAACTAAAACAAGCAGATCTGCAAATTTATTGATATTTAAGGAATAAGCATGTCAAGAACTACAGATCAGATCAGCAAGTTCTGTCAAGATCGCCATCATCTCCAAACATTATTCAGTAATGATGGAACAAGATGTCAGATTTAGACACTACTGTAGCGTTACTAGATATAGCATAAATTGTAAAGTTGAGCATTAAAAATTTTATTGGAATCAAAACAATTACATAAGAAAACGTTTTATAAACTTACCTTTGAAAGGGTAAGCCAGGTAGAGTGCCCTCGCACAAACCCACAAAACCAACTCTTGAAATGCTATGAACACCTAACTGGTACCGATCTGATTCTACTAGACTGAGAACAGATCAATAAATAGTGTGACTGACAGGCCAACATCATAAACTAGGAAACACCAAAAAAAAGGACAAAACAGCTTGAAAACACATGATTCAGTATGGTATAAATTAACGTATCAGTTAACTTACATGTTTTTTGTTACAAAATATTGAGGATCTTTGCTAGTTTTTGGATCTATGTGCATGATAGAGAATTTGTTTTTGAAATCGCCACATAAAAGTCTTGCTGATTATCAAGACCGAAAAAGACGCAGATCGATAACTTTATCAAAACAATCCATGATTTTCAGATATGCATATCCTCCTAAGCCAGTAGTTGAATAGTTTGAAGATATAGAAAAAATATATTGCTTAGATTTGGATGTGTGAATGCTGGATCTAGATTCACATGGTTGATTATGACAGCGGCTGTAAAATCTTATGAAAATGAAACTGAACATCTAATATATAGTAAGAAAAGTGTGGCCGTCAACCCTAACCCTTATCTCCAGCGATGGTGATTTGCATCAACCTCCCCTAAAATTGTACGTATCATCACATACAGCCCAACCATTACGCAAAATGACAATTTTGTTGCTTGATGAATAAAGTGGTACTTAATTTTTTATTTGTAGTATTTTTTAAAAGCTCTTAATTATTTGTGAATGGCCAAAATAGTCCTTACTATACTTAACTATTTTTTTTAACAGTTCTTATTTGTAAATGGCCATAGTATCTTTATTTATATTTTTTGCAAAAACACTTGATACATCTTTTTTTTCTTTTTTAAGTGAGAATATCTTCTATCATTTGACATTGTGATTATTCCACGTTGAGTATACCATATTCATTGTTTAGCCTTTCAACAAGAAAGGGTGTAATTAGCACAAACTTATTCTAATGTTTGGCTACAAAATTAATGGTTTCAGTAAAAGTTAAAATTAAGAATGTGTTTAATGAAATCATATTTATCATATATTGTGACAATTATATTTATTTTAAAATTAAATTACGTGAAGAAACTGATGTTAATAATGTACATAAGGGAAAATTGTACATATATTTATCGTTTTACATTCCCTCGTGTTAAAATCTATAAGTCTAAGAAAGCTCAATGAAAAAGATATGATTTGTGAAATTTTCGTCGGAAAGTTTATTTGGATGATTATTGGATTACTCACACATGATGTTTTGATATTTGCACATTGGGCTATATTTATCGCGACTTTGCATTTAAAGTATATGTGGATTTCGTTTTTGTTTCAACGCAATGTGAGTTTTAGAACATGTGAACGACAATTGAATGAATTTTGATAAGCATGCAAGAAACATAACACATGCATAAACTTCCAATGGACGATTTATTCTCGAGGATCAAGTTTGTTGGTAAATATCCATTGATGGTCGATCATTAATTTCCCAAATAACATAGTATAGAATATTTATCAAAATATATTTCTTAAATTTGTCTAAGTTTGAAAACTAATGTTGGATTTAATGAACTTACCAAAATTAACTATGGGTAACGTGACAACTGTGTCAAGCATCTCTTACATGGCATTTCTCCTTGAGTAACGCTAAGAAACCCTAGACTCCTCACCGCTACTATATACTCCACTGCTAACGTTCTATATTCCTCAATAAACAACAAGAGGGAAACAAAACAAGTGGTATTTAGGGGTAAAATGGTCATTTTATTTTCATCTTACTTTAGTACAATGCTACTTAACACAATTACCTATACCACACTTTATATGCAAAAAAAACAATTTATTTTTTTCCGCTACCTCATAAACATGAAAACTATGGGTGATTTACAAAAATAAGTAGCATCTTCTTAAAACAGGGGTATTTTAGGTAATTAGATTGTTTTAATTTCTTATGCACAGTACATAAAGTATCTATCATACATCATACATACTTATAAAGCTAACATTTTTTCTTAAATCTCATGCATTTGAAACCCCCTATAAAAATTTGCCAACACCTCATGCATTTGAAACCCCCACACACCCTTTCACCTTCAAAGTAATTAATCACACATAATCTCATTCCAAGAAAATCACACACTCTATAAGTTCAACACCTCATGCATTTGAAACCCCCACACCCATTCACCTTCATTATATATGTAGTTATATTAGTACATTTTTCTTACAAAAAGTCGTCATTTGGTTGAAGATATTATGATTCAAAAGTTTTCATATAGTTGAAGCATTCACGATCCAAATATGATGATTTGAAGAAATGGGTTATGTCGCATCGATGGTAATTGTAATATTATTTTTTTCTTTCAACCAAAACAAATGAAGCTTTTCTATTCTTTCTTTATATTCAATTTCTCATTCGATCTTTATACATGATTTGTATGTATTACTCGATCTTGAATGTGACTCTCCAAACATCAATGTTTTGCTTGGAATATCTTTCTCATTCTTCTTTTTCAAGAAAAACATTTTGATTGCAGGTCAGTGAAGAATTATCATCAAGTTTCTATGGTTGAATGGTGTTAAATAAAGAAAGAAGATTCAGAAAACGGATATAGGTTTTTTGTTTAGCAAAGTAGACAAATGTTAGTTTTTTCTTTTGATTTAAACGTATATTTATGTAACATTTTTATTTATATATTCAACCACCCAATGTTCTTATTTATTTGATTATAGTTTTTCTATTTTGAGTATGTTTATTTTCTATTATTTTTTTGTTGGGTTATCCTACACAACATATTTAAAAGATAACATAATTTTTAACATTTGATATGTAATTATGATGACTTATCATGATATGTTCTTCGTATGAAAGTAATTTATCCATATTACTACGACAAGAATTACATATGACGTTTACGAAAACATATATTATATGTGATTTGTTTAACATATATATGCACCTATGTATGTTATAAATTTATAATTAAACATCTTTATGTTTAATAATTGAAGAGATTAGAAGATGTATCAAAACCAATTATTTAGACGAATATAATAATAATAATAATAATAATAATAATAATAGTAAATACACATTTCCAATTACCGTATTCATTTCAAACTCACACTACAACTCAAGAGTTTTCTAATTTATATATATTTATTAGTTACAACTGAAGAGTTTTTAACTTATGATTATTAATTAGTAATTACTAATAACTTTTTATTTTCCTTTCTTTTATAAGGTTGTAAAGTTTTGCTCATTAAAAACATTAATGTATTTGAAAAGATTTGTGATTTAAATATGAAAAGTTAATATAAATGTTATAATAAATGTTTTAGTATTTTTATGTTATTAAAAATTGTAGTGTTTATTTTTCATATTTTTTATTATTCGTTGTATATATATCTTTTTTAATACAAATGTTATAATAGATGTTTTTGTATTTTTATGTTACTAAAAGTTGTAGTTCATATTTTTGTTCATACATTTTGTTACCCGTTATATATAGATTATCATACGTTTGATATATAATTTACACAATTTTAAACGGTTTATAAAATTATCAAATAATTGTATATATCACAATGACTTAAAAATTAAAACTATAATCATCATACTATATTATAAACGAATCATTTTTTCTTTCACCACATTCATTTGGAGCTCCAAACTTTTCATATTTCCATATAATTGCTTAATTTATTAACATAAATATGCTTTTAGTTGTAAACATTATAATAAACGGAAGAATTTGTGACTTATCAATATGATATACTTAATTTGTTAACTTCAATTAGTTAAATAAATAACCTACATTAATATATCAAATAAGGTTAAAAATTTAGTGTAAAAATTAAAACCTAAATTTAAATATCAAATAATGTTTTAAAAAAAATTCAATATATATTTTTTAACACAGTTAAAAGGAAAGCATTAAATATAATAATAATAAAAAAACCTAAATTGATGAATCAAATTAACTAAAAGGTGTCTGAAAACTATATTCTAACAATATATTTTTAACATGTGCCGCGCAACGCGCGAGAATTTATCAAGTATATATATATATACTTATAAAGGAAGCATTTTTTCCTTTCACCACATTCATTTGAAACTCCCATACATTTTTCCTTTCACCACATTCATTTGAAACTCCCATGACTTTTCAATTTCTTTCTAATACTAAATATAAGTTGGTTAATAAGATTAAATAAATATCAAACCTAAAGTGTAATCATATATAAACTAAATTTCAATATTAAAAGAATATCTTTACTTCTACTTATAAAATTATGTTTTTTAACTTTTAACATATTATACTTAATTTATTAGTTTTACTATATTGTTGGATGTTAACCATTATCATTTTAAAGATACAATTTTGGAACAGTTTGTATAAAATCCTTAATTTATTAATTTAAATATAACATTACATGGTCAACTTATATATAAATTTTAGTTTAACTTAAACAACCCCAAAAATATGTTGTAATAGTTAAAAGTGATAAATTGTAGTGTCTTTCTAATAATGATTATAAGTTGGTTAATAAGGTTGAAACGAAATGTTAGTAGTAAAGCAAACATATAGTTAACATATTAGTTTTATTAAACATTATAGTTTGATTGTTAAGTCATTGTGATATATACAATTATTTGATAATTTTATAAACCGTTTAAAATTGTATAAATTATAACGCGTAACAAAACGTATGAATGGAAATATGAACTGTAACTTTTAGTAACATAAAAATAGAAAACATCTATTATAACATTTGTATTAAAAAAGATATATATATACAACGAATAATAAAAAATATGAAAAATAAACACTAAAACTTTTAATAACATAAAAACACTAAAACATCTATTATAACATTTATATTAACTTTTCATATTTAAATCACAAATATCTTCAAATAAATTAATGTTTTTAATGAGCAAAACTTTACAACCTTATAAAAGAAAGGAAAATAAAAAGTTTTTTGTGATTACTAATTAATAATCATAAGTTAAAAACTCTTGAATTGTAACTAATAAATATACATAAATTAGAAAACTCTTGAGTTGTAGTGTGAGTTTCAAATGAATGCGGTACTTGGAAATGTATATTTATTATTATTATTATTATTATTATTATTATTATTATTATTATTATTATATTCATCTAAATAATTGGTTTTGATGCATCATTTTAATCCCTTCAATTATTAAACATAAAGATATTTAATTATAAATATATAACATACATACGTGCATATACATGTTAAACAAATCACATATAATATATATATTTTCGTAAATGTCATATGTAATTTTTGTCGTAGTAATATGGATAAATTACTTTCATATGAAGAACATATCATGATAGGTCTATCATAATTACATATCAAATGTTCAAAATTATGTTATCTTTTAAATATTGTCTTTTAAATATGTTGTGTAGGATAACCCAACAAAAAAATTATAGAAAATAAACATAATCAAAATACAAAAACTACAATCAAATAAATAAGAGCATTGGGTGGTTTAATATATAAATAAAGATGTTACATAAACATACATTTAAATCAAAAGAAAAAACTAACATTCATCAACTTTGCTCAAACAAAAAAACCTATATCTATTTTATGAATCTTCTTTCTTCATTTAACACCATTCAACCATAGAAACTTGATGACAATTCTTCACTAACCTGCAATCAAAATATTTTTCTTGAAAAAGAAGAATCATAAAGATATTCCAAGCAAAACATTGATGTTTGGAGAGTCACATTCAAGATTGAGTAATACACACAAATCACATATAAAGATTAAATGAGAAACTGAATATAAAGAAAGAATAGAAAAGCTTCATTTGTTTTGGTTGAAAGAAAAAATCATATTACAATTACCATCGATGCGACATAACCCATTTCTTCAAATCATCATATTTGGATCGTGAATGCTTCAACTAAATGAAAACTTTTGAATCACAATATCTTCAAATCCTTCTTACATGTAAGATTTTATATAACACAAAAGACACAAAAGATTGACCTTTTTCTAGTAAACTTTTCACTAAATGCTAATTAAACATAATATAAGTTATAAAACTTTTGAGTGTTAAATCATAATTAAAAAAACTTTTGAGTTGCATTAGTTAAAAAAGGGGGTTTCAAATGAATGTGGTTTGAGTAAGTTAAAAAAGGGGGTTTCAAATGCATGAGATTCAAGAAAAAAATGCTATCGTTGTATATATATCTTTTTTAATACAAATGTTATAATAGATGTTTTTGTATTTTTATGTTACTAAATGTTGTAGTTCATATTTTTGTTCATACATTTTGTTACCCGTTATATATAGATTATCATACGTTTGATATATAATTTACACAATTTTAAACGGTTTATAAAATTATCAAATAATTGTATATATCACAATGACTTAAAAATTAAAACTATAATCATCATACTATATTATAAACGAAACATTTTTTCTTTCACCACATTCATTTGAAGCTCCAAACTTTTCATATTTCCATATAATTGCTTAATTTATTAACTTAAATATGCTTTTAGTTGTAAACATTATACTAAATGGAAGAATTTGTGACTTATCAATATGATATACTTAATTTGTTAACTTCAATTAGTTAAATAAATAACCTACATTAATATATCAAATAAGCTTAAAAATTTAGTGTAAAATTTAAAACCTAAATTAAAATATCAAATAATTTTTTTAAAAAAATTCAATATATATTTTTTAACACAGTTAAAA